TTTCTTCGGAGTTTAATTTTCCCAGTATTTAAGAAACGGCCAAAAAGCCAAATGAACAACAACAACAAGCATGTTGCTTTCCTTCGTTGCAAGAAGAGGCTTTTTCATTAGTTATTTCATAAAAGAAATGTCAAATGGTTTCCATGTTTACATAGCCTGATGTAAACACGCAGGAGGTTAGGAGAACACGAGATAAGCTGGAAACCACTCCACTTCGCGTTGTGGTTTCCTACGCTTATCTCTTGTTCTCCCAACCTCCCGTGTGTTTACATCAGGCTATGTAAACAAGGAAACCATTTTACATTTCTTCAATGTTAAATGTTACATAATGTTACAAATATCAAGGCCAACAGTAATTTTGAATGCAAAATTTAATAAATTTGACACCTGTGGAGTATGTAGCATCACTTATGAATGAGACAAGAATGTGCTTTAAATTTTCATCATACCTGAATAATGCCTGTGTAAAATTTGAGCTCAAATGTAGTGTTTTTAACTTATAAATCTACTCCTACTAAGTGGCCCTGGCAACCTATCTTTACATGTTACTGCCAATAAAATAACCCTCCATCTTCATAAAGATCTAAGTAAGCTTTTAAGGCCTTCCTGTCATTTTTTTAAAGCATGGCCTCACAAACTTTTTCTTTTAGCTCCACTGATAAAAATGTTTAGGGAAAGTCAAATAATCAACAACCACAACTAGTACTTAAATACTAAGTTAGCATGAAATGCAAGAACCCTCAACTGGCTGAAACTTGCATCATTCAGTTAGATACTATTCTTCCCACATTTCTAAATAAATTAACCAATATTTAGTGGATACCTCTATGACACAGACACTAGGGTAGGTTCTCAGAGAGGTTCCCTTGTGAAATGGCTTTTGGAATTCCTAGGAATTCCTAGGAATAAAGGTGTGAATTTTCACGGTAAATTCGGACTGGGAATTCCTAGGAATTCCCAACCATAACAACTCTGGTTCTAAAAACCTAGAAATTCCTAGAAATTCCCAGAAATTCCAAGTTTATAGCCAACAGGACTTGGAATTCCTAGGAATTCCAACTCAGAGAACCAATGACTATCCCTGAAAAGCTGTAAATCTAAAAAATTCCTAGGAATTTCTGGGAATTTCTGGGAATTTTTAGGAATGTTTAAGAATTACTGGGAATTTTAAGCAAAAATTTGAGGCTAATGATATAAAATAAGTACTTTAAATTAAAAAAACCCAGCTAAAATTCAAGTATTCAATGAAATTTATTTAGAAGCTTAATTAAGGCTTACATGTAAAATATTTTTGATTAATTATTAACATCAATGTGTGGTAATATTAGGATGGAATTTGATTTATTTTTCTTTTCTTGAAAATTTCATACGGATTAATCCTCAATTACAGCTATTCATATAAAATAGTTCTAATCAATCATTAAATTTGGTTTGACACAAATTGTGAATAAAATCTGTGGATTCTTTTCCATAAAATACAATATCTTAAGTTATATTTGAAAACCAAGCACTCTTGGGAGTGAAGGGGCTAATTACAGACAAATAAAATTGATTTTTTGATTAAAATCTTGTTGTAACTGTAACAATAAATTAGAATGAAGTTATCCTGAACTGCAAACTTAGCTGCTGTTTGTACTGTTTGTATTTTCTTTCCTGGGCTCACAATGAGTTGGCCTTGAATGAGGTTGTCAACAAGAACCTTGACCATTTTGTATCTGGATTCCTTGACATCTGAATTTGAAAAAAAAACATATATTAAAATATGTATATTTAAAGCTCAGACCAGGCTTTTAAGATGGCTATGAGGAAAAGGGCATTCATTGGATTCTCAAATTGAGAAATCTCTGTTATATTGAGTGACTTTTATATTGGAATTAGTACATATCTCTCATGGATTTTACTAAAAAAGGGCTGAATACATTATTTTGTTTTTACCAAGGAGGGCTTCTTTATGTGCTAAGGTTTGTTTAATAACAGTTCCTATTATGAATCTTGAATGTTCCCAAACGTGACTAGAGGAATCTTGAAACCTTACTGATAGGTTTATTTCATTGTAAACCATAAGCTTAAGAAACTGCGGCATGCAAGTGACCGATTCGATTCTCAGAATTATTCTAGTTTCAGTTGCACCGAGCGTTATGTAAGCTTACTTCAACCCGCTACATCTATTCTTTTTTATAAGATTTTGATCACGTAACGAATATCGCAATTTTTACTCACCACAAACTTTCAAAATCGTAGCTTTACAGATGGCCACTCGACCCTTGTTTGTACCAGTCAATATGTCAACTGTTGTCCCTTCTTTTAACTCCACGGCGCCAACGACTTTCTTTTCTTTTACAACACTCACGCTATTCTCGTTTTCCCATTGAACCACAATAAAAGCTATCTTTAGAAATGTTATATTAAGCAAAACAGTTGAGAAAAGCGATCAACCGATGAAAAGTACATTCAAAGATGAGCGCCAAATGGAGTCTTCTCTGTTTCCGATCACGAGTATGATCACGTGGATCTTTTAGGACTTGTCATTGGCTAGCAGAGTGAATCCGCTGGCTTGCCGATTGCAGTGTTAGAAAAAGTGCCCAACTTTATCCTGACTTCTCCGACCAGTTTTCTGCTTCTAGAAGATGGATAGCTTGGTGATATAAATAAAGATGTGAGCTCACTCTATGTAGAAATAATCGACAAGAGTCGATCGTATTACAAATGCACGATTTGTGGCCGAAAGTTGTCGAGGAAACAAAGACTCGAAACTCACTTGAGTTGTGTTAATGGCAAAGGTGAGAAATAACACAAGCCAATCACAGTTTTGAATGCGACTACAAATCGTCTTTTACCCTCATATTTATAAAAGAAGGATACCGCATTCGGAAGTATAAGAGATACATAGATGATCCCAGTGTACCAGTACCTAAATCTACAAAGCTTGACCGTAGCAAGCGTTCAGCAACACGTTCCAACACCGCCATCTCTTTTTCTTAAAACCTTCACATTCAAGGTATTGAGAATTTCTTAGAATTTATGTGGACCTCAGGGTATTAAAATTGCCTCAAATTCAATTCCCAGAAATTCCCAAGAGTTCCTCACTTCTTAAATTATAGGTAGTTTGTAAAGCTGAGAATTCCTAGGAATTCCTAGGGATTCCAAGTCCTCACAAAACTGGAGTCTTCCTTTCCCAGAAATTCCCAGTAATTCCAAGCTTTTTAAATCAGAGTTAATTTGCATAGTTGGGAATTTTTGAGAATTCCTAGGAATTCATAGTAATTCCCAGAAATTCCCAGAAAACTGGTAATTCAGTTTGCAAGGGTCATTTGCATAATTGGGAATTTTTGAGAATTCCTAGGAATTCCCAGAAAACTGGGAACTCAGTTCGCAAGGGTTATCTTTGATACTTTAATAACTATTTAAAGTAATAGCTTTTGCTGCAGTTTAAAGTGATTTAATTTTTGAAATACAGTTAACTTCTTCACTTATCACACAACAGCTGTGCAAAGCATATCAATTGTAAATAACAAATGTGGAGAGTTACAAATTACTTTCAGTACTTTATAGTGCAAGTAACATGTTCCTTACCATCATTTTTGTGTTTTATGTCCATTTACAGACTCAAGTGGCTGTAACAAAAAAACAAATTCAAACAATTTTACCTCACTTCCTAAAGCAAGAAATCACAAGACTAAACAACAAGTGTAGAAACTTAGACATACTTAGGCTAGAACCCTAATTCAAAAATAAAAAAACTACCCCCCTGCAAAAAAAAATGTACCACTGTCTTTGGTACCATCCTGTTCCTCCCCTATTTCCTTTTTTTTTTTTTTTTTTTTTTCTTTTCTATCAACTTTCAAACATACCATGCTTCTTCTTTATGGGAAGAGGCTCCATAAAAACCCAAATAACCAGAAAGAGTACTGACAAGATAGATAACCAAATGAGTAGTGGTATCAAACTAAAGCTTGTGGCAATTCACCGACCTGACTATTAAACCCTATTCTTTTTCCCCAGATCTATGTGAACTAGATTTTGAGCACAGAATGCAATACCTCACCAAACATCTGCTAGGATGACTCACTTAAAAGTGTGCATGATTATCATCTCTTGCTGAGATAGCACACATATGGGGGCTTTGGTAAGATTGTGGAAAGGAGGGACAACATTTGAGCAGCTGGGAGGGACAAAAATGACAGTGTGGCAGCCATTTATTCCCACTTGGATAGCAAAGTCTGGGGAACCTTTCCCTGAAAATTTAAAAGTTTGGTTGTCCAAAAGGGTCCATTTTAGGCCACTACTTCTCAAGTTGGCTAAAAATTATATCTGCTACAAGGGAGAGTGAGGGAGAGTGTTGACACTGATTTAATGAATAGAGTAGCTTTTACATAACCGTAATAATCGTAAGAGTTCGTCTGCAGTCATCATGGCGACCGGTCGAGCACTGCCGAGCTCGCTGAAATATTTTGTGTTCTCGCTCATAGCGGCTTTAATGATACGGGAGAAAGTCGAAAAACAACTCCTATACGGACCAGCTCATTTGGGAAAAAAGGAGGAAGGACAAGAACGTCTGGCCGCTTTAATACCACTGAAGATGAGCTTGAGCTTGAGAACTCGAGCGGGTTGCGGCAAAATGTATTTATCGTTCAGAATTCCATATACAGCGAAGGATACGAGGACCCTACAGCTTAGCCGAATTGTCTTAGGTGACGATGTACATACATGTGGAGGAAGATGATTATGCAAATAACAATGCTGGCGAAGCTGTTTATGCAAATACATTGGACGTAATGAAACCCTGCATAAGGGAATCCCTCGGGAGAGTAATCATTGAGGAAAGGAAAAGGAATTCAAGTGGAGCCCTTAATGTTCATCTAAACATCAATAGTATACAAAATAAATTTGAAGAACTAAAAACATTGAACAATTCCCTTAGAACACATATTATAGTAATATCTGAAACAAAAGTGGATAGTTCCTATCCCAACAGTCAATTTAACCTTCCAGGATACCACATGTATAGAAAAGACAGAAAAAATGGTGGAGGCGGACTGTTAGCATACTTCTCTTCAGCTCTGCCTTCTAAGAAGCGGTCCCTGCCAAAGACCTACAAGACCCTCGAGGCAATTGCTGTCGAGGTGAAGATAGGAAGCAATGATTTGTTAGTTCTGTCAATTTACAGGCCCCCAAAACAGAAAAGGAAGGGAAACGAGTCCAGCCTCCAGGATCTTAACCACATCTGTCAGTGAGCGTGTTTCCAAAAGCAGTCTGTCATCATTTTAGGTGACCTTAATCTGGACAGATTGAGATTGGATCGTGCTGAGGGGAAACTTCTGAAGGACCTGGAAGAAGTCAATAATCTACAGTGCATGATAACTGAACCCACTCGAGTTACAGCTCTCTCGGAGTCACTTTTGAACGTTATTCTAACCAACAATACTGAACTGTTCAAGAAATATGGGGTTTATCAGCGAGAAATGAGTGACCACCATATGGTGTTTGGAGAAATGATGGAGAAAGTCCACAAACACAAGACACGCACTACCACTTTCCAGCAGACAAAAAGTACTGATTGCGAACAGCTTAACCGGGACTTGGAGGCTGCCCCCTGGCATGTAGGAGAGATTTTTTGTAATGTGAACGATCAATATGATTATTGGAAGGGACTGTTTGAGAGCGTTGTGGATCAACACGCACCCACTAAAAAGAAACAAGTCAGGGAGAAAGATATACCCTAAATGACTCCAGAATGGAAGCAAGCCATTAGAGATAAGAGAAAATTTGCAGTTCAATTTGCAAAGGATCGCTCTCTTGAAAACTTTGAGCTCAAACGAAAATACAGGAACATTGCAACGCGGGAACGTAGAAAGGCAATAAAGGCCTACTGGTATAGAAAATCGGAAGAGCTGAAATCTAAGCCCAGAGAGTTTTTTTAACACATTCAGGCCACTCATCAGTACAAAGACAAAAGACACCAATGCTATATGTTTGAAATCTGAAGATGGCGAGGTCGAGAAAGACCAAACTGTGGTGGCTGAACTCCTAGCAGGCCATTTTAATACGGTGGCAGCGAATATAGGAGGCAACCATATCACCAGCCTAACCGAGAATGATTATAGGAACCACAGTAGTGTCAAGGCTATTGAAAGCGGTTACAAGGGGAATAAATTTGATTTCAAAGAATTTAACAAAGAGGAAGTGCAGTGTGCTCTTAAAAATCTCAATGTAAGAAAGTCGTTTGGGTGGGATGTGACAGCACCACCAAAACTCTTTAAGGGAGTGGCTGAAGGAATTGCACCATCCCTGCCTAGACTTTACAATAACTGTATTGACTTAGGCGAGTGGCCATCTGAATGGAAGAAAGGTGAATGGACCCCTGAATTTAAAAAGGGAGACAGACAAGACAAATTGAACTATCGTCCGATCACTTCACTTATATGTGTGGACAAGATTTTTGAACACTTACTCAGCAAACAAGTGACCAGACATTATGACCCTGCTCTGTACCACAGGATGACAGCTTATAGAAAACAACACAGCTGTGAGACAACCCTGCTGATGTTGATTGAAGACTGGAGGTCTGCAGAGGACAGAAAAGAGCTGGTAACAATATTATCTGCTGACATGAGTAAAGCATTTGACTTGTTGAGCTATTCACTCACTCTAAAAAAGCTGGATGCCTACAGTTTTAGTAGCAGTTCACTTGAACTGATTAGATCATTTTTTGATAGCAGGCTAAACAGAGTAAAAATAAATGGCCACACGACTAAATGGAGAATTATGGAACGTGGTTGTCCTCAGGGATCGTCATTTGGCCCTCTCCTCTGGAACATGTTCCAAAATGATATGGCATTTCATATCCCTGACTCAAACCTTACGCTCTATGCTGATGACCACCAATTATATGTGACAGGAAAAACCTATGAAGAAGTTGAATCTACTCTAGTGACTCAGGGTCAACAAGCACTGTTATGGTATAGGGACAACTTCCTTTTGGAAAATCCAGATAAGTTTCAGTCTCTTACGATTAACCCAAGAAACATAGATGCAGATAAGAAGGGCAGCGTTCTCACCATCGCCAATGACGAGATCATGAAAACTGAACAAATCAAGCTATTAGGAGTAAATATAGACAAGAACCTTAACTTTACACAACACATTAGCGAAATATGCACTAAAGCCAGCCAGAAAGTAGGAGTCCTCATGCGCTTGCGCAACCATGCCAAGCTAAGCTCATACTGTATAAAACAGCTATAATGCCACATTTAACATACTGTCATTTAGTCTGGAACTTTTGTAAATCTTCAGATGGGCGAAAAATTGAACGCATCCAAGAGCGAGCCCTGCGTGCGGTCTTAAAAACAACAACAGAGACATATGAGGAACTTCTTAAGTGTGCTAAGTTACCTACGCTTCATATTAGACGCTTACAGGACATAGCAATACTAATGTATAAAGTAAACAACGATCTAGTACCTAGCTACATATCTGAGATATTTACTCGAAAGGGTACTCGTTATAACCTTAGGAATAGTGACTTTGAAATACCACGATTTAATACTATACGCTATGGTAAACACACATTAAGGTATCAAGGACCATATATCTGGTCCAAATTAGAAAATGGTATGCGTGAACTACCAAGCCTTAGCATCTTTAAAACTAAAATCTGTAGAGTTGACCTGGCCAGCCTAGTGGAAGACAGTGGCAACTGCTGCAATCTTTGCAGCACATGATTTTTTTTAATTATCTGCATTGTACAAGTATTTTTATGTTATCTGAACATTGTTAATATTTCTAAATATTTTTAAATTTTAATGCATAGTTTATCGGCTATATTGTTACTTATTATGATACTGTACATAGTTTTTTTATTAATTTTGTAATAGTAGGTGTCCCCAATTAGCTCTATGAGCTAAATACATTGACACGGTAATAAAGATTTTATTATTATTATTATTATTATTATTATAACGAACTATATAAACATTATATACATAGTAATGTTGTCTCTTAGATGATGTCTGTGTGGTCTTGTTTGATTTTTACCTTTGCCTTGTTCAAAAATATGAAATTGTGCCCTGGACAACATTCAATTTTGGGGCACAGTGCTGTGATTTCTGACACAGTATATTTAAAGCAATTACTGATGGCAAAGGAATTAATTGGTACTTCAATGATGAATGTAGAGTACAGCAATCAATGTAAACCATCATACCAAAAAACATGGTGACTGGTACATTCACCTAGAACTCTTTGCACAAGAAAATCCTGGAACCACTCAAAAAGTCAAGCAGAAAAAAATCTGAAAAATTTTAAATGTTGATACATAATGTTGTTGTTTTGTGAAATATTGCTTTCTACATGTGTCTTACCCTAAGAATAGAGGTAAAATGTACAGGCACCATCTTTGTCTGTAAGTGGATTGAATCTGTTAGGTAAACACCATAATATTGATACAAATAATATTGATACAAATAGGCTGAGGGTTTAGTATAGGTATGCTGTGGTTTAGTTTTATCTTAGGTTCATTCTTTTATTTTTAAAAGAGGCCAAATTTATAGTGGCATATCATCTCACAATAACTTAGGCTAGGAGTTAAATTTTATCTTTCTTTACACAAAATGCATTTTTCATTCACATCATTAACAAAACCAAAGGAAACTGATTTTTACACCAAGGACAAAAATTAAGCACAACAGATACCTTTCATCGGCATTTTTGTTTACCTTGCTTTGCTGCTAGTTCTCATCCATGCCTGTATGAATGATATTAAGTAAGGGTGAAAGGATTGGTATTTTCTTCACAAAGATAGTTGCAGAGTGTCTCCATTGATATATAGATTACCAAACACTCACAATGAACACCAACAAGACCAAGTTCTTGCTAACAAGTATAGGAGCAATAATTGCTAATAATGGGCAATAGTCTGTATTGAATTAAGTATTCATTTGTGCAAGAATTAGTATTTATTTCATTTTAATGTTTGTAACACACAATTGAAAAAAGTATGTAAAATGTGGTAACAAAATACATATCATTGTGGTATTCCTCATAATTTAGTTCAAGGGGCTTTATTATAAATAGATCGAAAGAAAGAAAGTGGCATACGTCAGCCACTGATTTAAATAAAAAAGCACATATTATTAAGTGATGAGTAATTTTGCTGCAAATTTGTGCCCTTTTGGGTGAGCAAAGAGAATGATGACCCAACTGTTACTTGCTGCAGAGCGTTAGGAGCCAGCACCCTTAATCCTTTATAAGAGACCAGATCTTCATCATATGTGTAAGCAGTTTGTAAGTTAACTTTCCAGGATATGCGAAGTTTAACATCGACCATACATCCTAGCTGAATTTTTGCGTAGCCCCGTACATTTATAATGAATACATGTCTTCCACTGTACCCATAATAGCCACCAGTGTAGACACTATGAGACTGCTACATGCAACACAATACAAATTATTGAGGCTGGAAGAAAATCACAAGTTTTTGATCATTGAAACACCGAGATCTGTCCTGGTTTTTTATCGTGTAATATCTGGTGTTGAATGTCCCAAACAAAATAAAAAAGTCAGTCCTCGACACAGAAGGATTCAATGAATCTAGGTATCATGCAGCTACATGAAATCTACTGGAATTTAGCACAAAACTTGAACGCGATCTTTGAAGAATGGTTGTAATATTTAAAATTTAAAAAAATACTAGCATGAAGTGCAACGACAACCTTACCTTCTTGTACTAGCTCCAACAGAAAAGTAAGGAAAGCCACGAGGCGATGTCAAATTCTCGTCTTCCTAGGCTTTCCAACGTATGGAAGAAAATTTCCAAAATATCTCGCACTTAAAAACGTTACCAGAATCTTACTCTTTCACCAAACCGAAGCGTCCCAAAAGGTGTCAAGGATAGCCCATGAAATTCTCAAACTTCGAGCGCGGAAATCTTAACGATCTTTTTACACTTTTGCTTTGCATCCCTCCCCTAGTTGGGAAGTGACACGATCACAACGCACTTTGA